CTGCGTCTAGTGGAGCTCGAACTCAGGTCTGTATTTCAACAGTTCAGGGGTGTACCAAGTGACGTAGGCCAGGTTGTGTCTGTCATGTTTCTTTGTTGCCGTGTTCATATTATTTATCAACATATCTGCAAATGTTCAGGTGATTTGTTCTATTGTTTTCCAGAGTCTTTTTTTATTAAACCATTAAAATAATTAATGGTGATTTATTAAAGATTTTAAATTGTCTTATTTCTCTCTCTAAATATTCTCTATCCTCCGTGTGTTCCAATCGGAGTTGCGTGGGACAAAGCAGCCATGCATATCTTGTTAGACATGTTCAGTGACACAATGTTATCCGTCCGTACAGATTCTACTTCGAATGACGTCTCCTTGATCTGTGAAGTAAGAAAAGTGATAGCTGTTGGCTTAGGGGTTAGGGTTTAGGGCTTATGGTTCAGGGTTTAGGGTTTAGGCTCTAGGGTTCCGGGTTCTATGTTAGGGTTCAGAGTTCACGGTGTAGGGTTTAAGGTTTAAGCTCTAGGGTTTGGCATTCCAGGTTAGGGTTTAGAGCTCAGTGTTTAGGGTTTAGGGCTTATGGTTCAGGGTTCTAGGTTAGGGTTCACAGCACAGGGTTTGGGGTTTAGGGCTTACGATTCAGGGTTTAGGGTTTAGGCTGGAGGGTTTGCGTTCTAGGTTAGGGTTTAAAGCTCAGTGTTCAGGGTTTAGCGCTTATGGTTCAGGGTTTAGGGTCTAGGGCTCAGGGTTCCGGGCTAGGGTATATAACTCACGGTTCAGGGTTTCAGGGTCTGGGCTTTGTGGGTTCAGAGTTCAGGGTTTAGGGATGTTCTGTTATGCAGGTGAAAAATTCTGCGGGATTCGCTGAATGGTGTGCGGTGCAGTGGAGATGTAATTTACTCCAAACGACAAGTACTATGCGGCGGGGGTTAGAGTTCTATGTAATCTATGCGCTCTTTCTCCTCTTCTATGTTTTACTATCTTTGCATCTCTATTGCATGTGCTTCTTCGTCCGCACATGATGTGGTGTGATGCTGAGAATGTTGCCATTGTATAAAAGGATTGTTCTGGACTCAAACGTTGATTTGCGTGCGAGTTTATCTGGCAGTAGTAGTGAGCTCGCGTCAGTTCGTCCTTCAGCCGTTTGTTCTACAAATCTAAATCTCCATTTAATAATGCCATGTATGCTGCGTTCTATGTTAACCTTTTTTTTTTTTTTTCTCCTACTCGATCCTGTGGAAATTTTCTATCGACGCAGATAAATCAACGACTTGACATTGTTCAGACGTTTGTGGAGAGGGTGGATCTTCGTCAGGACGTGCAAAAGCAACTAAAAAGGATCCCCGACTTGGAACGCCTATTACGGAAGGTTAGCATTTCTATGCCCTTTTTTTTTTTTTCCTGTTTTTCTGTGCCGTATCACATTTGTATGTTTCTTGCTTTTCTTTTCTTCTTCCCTGTGGTTCGAATCGCATACTGTAGAAGGGCACACGATCCGGTCGTCTTTAGGATTCCCCCTCGCCTCCCTCCTGACGGACGTGCCGTCACCCCCCCCCCCCCCCCCCCCCCCCCCCCCCCCCCCCCCCCCCCCCCCCCCCCCCCCCCCCCCCCCCCCCCCCCCCCCCCCCCCCCCC